GTACACTTAAAATGGCGAATTCAGTGCTTAATGGCAGATTTTATGTTATGGGTATTTTACTACAATGAAAAAATTTTTAATTAAAAAATGTGAAGCAGAAGCTATTGGATTATATTTTCAAAACCAAAAAAGTAAGCGCTCAGAAATGAAAAAACATGTAGCTGCTTTAGAAATGTTGGATTTCAACCCGGAAGCTTCTGGTTAGACAGTCAGCAATGCTCTCAGCAGAGAGAACTTGAGACAATGTCCATCACTAGTCACAGCCATTGTGACAGAGAAGTCAGGAGCAGGACCCAGGGGGACTTGAAACAACAAAATCCTGAGCCAGAAGGGAGATGGAGACAATGGCTCTGATGCTGGGTGGGGGTGGAGGACACTAGGCTATGGAACCCAAAGGGCCCTGGACATGTTGGGACCTGACACCCCCAGGCTCCCTTCCCACCCCTCTGTCTGCTTCTTTGCACTCTCCTCTCAGAGTTCTGCTTCTCCTGCCTATCCTTTCAATGTTGGAGCTTCCCATGCTCCTTCCCTGGTACATCTTCGCTTCCATGCTGTGATGACGGCCCCGGCCATCTGGTCTACTCCCAGGGCTTCCAGCGATGTCTATCTAGGGATGCCAACACCAGTGCCTCCACTGTAGACCCTTCCTATCGCATGTTTGACCATCAGCTGCTCCATCACTCAGCCACTCCACGTGGCTGGGCCCCCAGGTCAAACTCATCACCTTCGTCTCCCATTCTGCTCTTCCTTACATTCCTCAGTTCAGCAAAGGGCACCCCGTGCTCCCAGAAGCCCAGAAATCTGGTGTCATTCCTCCTTTTCTCCAAACACCCATCAAACTCCCATGATCTGCTGGTCCTGCCCCCTAAAGACCTTTCACACTGGATACTTTCCTCTTCATTATCACCTCTCAGGTCCAGGCTACTATCATCTCCCTCCTCTGTCCACCCATTCTCAGCCCTGTAGCCAAATTGAGTTGTCTGCAGTGCAAATCGGATACTATCTCAATGGGCCACAATTGCTGATGCTCCACATCTAAATAGCTTGGTACAGATTACCTTTCTAACCTCCTCTCCCACCATGACCCCTTTGTCCTCAAGGGGGGACAGGGACAATATATGCCAATGGGTGGAATTCATTACTAAAAATGGAAGCTGTTGGGCAAAGATGCGGAGAAATTGAACCCTCGTGCATCGTTGGTGGGAATGTAAAATGGTGCGGCCACTGTGAAAAACAGTATGATGGTTCCTCAAAAACTTAAAAACAGAATGACCATATGGTCCAGCAATTCCACCTCTGGGCATCTAGCCCAAAGAATTGAAAGCAGAGGCAGGAAGAAATATTTGTACACCCATGTTCATCGCAGTGTTATTCATAAAAACTAAACGGTGAAAGCAATTTAAGGGGTCAGGTGTGCTTTACGTTCCTGGAATCTACCCTCCTTTCTCTCACCTCTAGGCTCATCGTCATTGATTCCCTCTTGTAACAGTCTCCTCCTCCCTTCCTTCTACTTGCCTCACTTCTCCTCATCCTTCAAGCCTCAGCTTAGCTGTCACTTCCTCCAGGAGGATTTCCCTCCATCTCACTGAGCTTGCACTCAGAACCTCTCCCACTGCACCTTGTGTGTCCCTTACCATAATTCTAGACAGACTGCACAGCCGTTCTGCTACCTGTGTTCTGCCACTCTAAGTTCCATGAAGACCAGAACCACTGTGCTCCCAGCACCTAGCACAGGGTAGGCTTTCAATACTAGTTTGTTACTTGGATGAGTGCTGAATGAATGAATGCATGGTCTCAGAGCCCTCAGGTGTTGCCTTCTAGCTGGGGGCCTTTTTGATCCAGCCAGGTACTGATACTCTAATCATTCATGATAGGAGGAGACAGGAGAGCAGGCAAGAGAGAAGAAGCTTCCCATAGTCTATAAATCTCTCCACCCCCATACTCGCAGTAGTTTCCTAATGATCACGCCTCTGTATTGTGGAAAGTCTTTGCTCCTGTAAGCTTTATGCATCTGAAAGAAACAAGACAGCTGAGCTCATAGAAGCCTGGAGTGTGCAGCAGCCCCTGTTCTCTTTCCCCAAGGAGCCCCTGTATTAGCCCATAGGAAAGAAGGAAGGGAAGGCAGAGGGGTGTTCCCTCTTCCAGGATGTGTTGCAGGGGTATGGCTCAAGGAAGGAGGCTCTCAGAGGACCCCCCCGTCTCAGGACTTAGGCTGAAGGGACCCAAGAGCTGAGAAGCCCTGAACAGTAAGTCAAGATGAGCCCTGGCATCCCCTCTCACATTGGTGAATCTAGGCTTCCTCTGCTCTTACCTGACTCTTGAATAGTTGAACAAACTTCAGGTATGTATGGGAGGATATGTTATTTAGGTCTTCTGTGAAATTTCTGTTAGTTACTTTCACTCTCAGTTCTACAGTGGCATTGATTTTTTCCGGGACTTCTGTGGGAAGAGGACACGCTATGCATGAGACAGCAACCTCCCAATAATGCCTCCCAGGATTAGTTAATTCTTCACCTGTTGGCTTTGGGGAAGTAAAGAAAGTGTGTAGGAGGGAGGATGGAAACGCAAAAGGCAGGTAGGAGTAGCTGAAACTTCTGCCCCTTGCCTCTGTATACCAGGAGGAGCTAGTGGCCAGGATCACAATCCAGTGAGGCCTAAGTGGAGGCCTCCAGATGATCATCCTGATGAGAGAGGCAGGTAAGCTAGTGAAAAGGGCCCAGAAGGGGGAGACAGAAGGTCCATGTTCTACCTGCGTTTTGGCCTGGGCGAAAGTCACATTTTCTCCTCTACCTGCACAACTAAGCAGTGGTAGCAAATGATCCTTCCAGTGCTGCCCTCCGATTTTAAGTGGTTAAGGGATGTGGGGATGATCTACAAGTCTCAGGAAAGGTCTTCACCTATGAAGAAGTATTCCAAGAGGGACTGACACTGGTAACCAAAGTAGCCTTGGGTACAGGCACATTCTTCTCCGTCCCATGCGGCCCCATTGTAGCACTGCCCTGAGAAGGGGTAGAACATTCACGGAGGTTACCATGGAAGCCCAAAACACAAAAACATTGACTCCTGTTCCAAGTCCCATCATTCAGACACTGCATTGAAAGACGGGGATGGGACCAGATGATCATGCAGCAAGTGAGATCCATTTGTCACCACCTCAGCCCCCAGGAGAGAGTAGGGAAACGAAGAGGGACAACAGAGAGGACGGAAGCAAGAGATAAAAGAGGACACACAAAGGGGCTTCCCTGGTGGCGCAGGGGTTGGGAGTCCGCCTGCCAACGCAGGGGGCACGAGTTTGAGCCCTGGTCCGGGAAGATCCCACATGCCGTGGAGCAACTAAGCCCGTGTGCCACAACTACTGAGCCCGCGAGCCACAGCTACTGAAGCCCGTGAGCCTAGAGCCCATGCTCCGTGACAGGAGAGGCCACCGCAATGAGAAGCCCACACACCGCGGCGAAGAGAAGCCCCCGCGCGCCGCAACTAGGAAAGATGCCGCCTGCATGCAGCAGGAAAGACCCAAAGCAGCCAAAAATAAAATAAATACATTTTTTTTAAAAAAGAGGACACACAAAGAAAACAAGGGCCCCACAAATCAAAAGGGAGCAACATCGTCTGCATGGATGATGTACACTGGTAACAAAAAGGCACTGGAAGTGTGGAACAAGACCACAAGGAGTACAAAACTGATTAGCTGATAAGGGAAGATGAGCAGGAGGAACCCATAGAGTGACAAACAAGGAGACTTACTTGTTGTCATAGCTGGAGAGTGGGTTGTCATCAAAACTGTGTGTGTACCAGTGAGTGGGGGACGCAGAGTTGAAATGGTACTGAAACCAGGGGCTGGAGCACCAGTGGAGCCAGGTGAAGTGGAGGACAGAGGAGGAGAAAAGCCAGAAGTTGGCTCCTCTTTGGCAGTCATGGTGATAGGTTCTGAGACCACAATGTGGGTGGAGATCTCACTGGGGCTTAATGCGGAAGGACTTGCATTGTATGTACTATGCAACGAAGGGGTAGAGAATGATGGTGTGGACCCCTCTGTGGAGGTTGTGTAGAAAGTGGATCCTGGAGGAGAAGGTGTGGTCATGTGTCCGTCACCACCAGAAGTGATTAAGGTTTCTCTAGGCCTTGATGTGGAAGCAGAAATTTCATTCCCTTCAGTAACAATGCTGTTCAGGGTACCTGTAGGTTTTGATGAATCAGGAGTAGAGGTAGAAAATGTGGTTTCCTCGGTGAGGCCTGTGGTTGTCTGTGCAGAGACAGAGGGAGTGGTAAACAGCTGGCTGGAGCTTGAAGAGGAAGCGACGCTACCATAATGCCCAGGATAGGAAGTTCCAGACGAAATGGTTGAGTTAGATGATTTGGAAATGGTTGTGAGGACCGAGGGCATTTCAGTAATTGCTGTTGTGCTGTGTCCAGTGCTGGAGGTGGTGGTAGAAAGTTGCTCAGAACTTAAAGGTATAGAAGATGAGGAGTAAGAGGAGAGTGTGTGTGTTGATGGTGCTGAGAGAGTCGTGGACACAGTGGTTTCAATATAAAATGTCGTTGTTTGTTCATCACCACTGGACGCGGTAATTGATTCAACTGGACGTGAAGTGGACACAAGACTTCCATCCCCTTTAGAAACTGTTGTTGTAGGTGAGTCCATGAGCTGAGGAGAATCAGATATGGTGCTGTGATCTGTGGTTTTCTGAATGACAACAGTGGCAGTCTGTCTTGATGCAGCTGGACCAGTGAATGTCTCTCCATTGCTTGATGGGGCTGTAGAAATCCCAGCAACTGTGGTGTGGAAACCCTCAGAAGAGACTGTGGATTCAGACCATTTAGAAGTGGTGGTGGAACTCCCAGTGGCTGTGGTGTGGGAACCCTCAGAAGACGCTGAGAATTCAGTCCCATCAAAAGTGGTGGTGGAACTCCCAGGGCCTGTGATGTGGGAACTCTCAGAAGAGACTGTGGATTCAGACCAGCCAGAAGCAGTGGTGGAACTACCAGCATATGTGGGGTGGAAACCCTCAGAAGACACTGTGGATTCAGACCAACCAGACGTGGTGGTGGAACTCTGAAGTCCTGTGTTTGGGGAACCCTCAGAAGAGACTGTGGATTCAGACCAACCAGAAGTGGTGTTGGAACTCCAAGGGCCTGTGGTTTGGGAACCCCCATAAGAGACTGTGGATTCAGACCAACCAGAATTTGTGGGGGAACTCCCATCCCCTGTGGTGTGGGAGCCCTCAGTAGAGACTGTGGATTCAGACCAACCAGAAGTGGTGGTGGAATTCCCATCACCTGTGGTGGGGAAACCCTCAGAATAGACTGTGGATTCAGACCAACCAGAATTGGTGGCAGAATTCTGAAGGCCTGTGGTTGGGGAAGCCTTAGAAGAGACTGTGGATTCAGACCAACCTGAAGCAGTGGTGGAACTACCAGCATATGTGGTGTGGAAACCCTCAGAAGACACTGTGGATTTAGACCAACCAGGTGTTGTGGTGGAATTCTGAAGACCTGCAGTGTGGGAACCCTCAGAAAAGACTGTGGATTCAGACCAACCAGAATTGGTGGCGGAACTCAGAGGGCCTGTGGTTGGGGAACCCTCAGAAGAGACTGTGGATTCAGACCAACCAGAATTTGTGGGGGAACTCCCAGAGGCTGTGGTGAGGAAACCCTCAGAAGAGACTGTGGATCCAGACCAACCAGAAGCAGTGGTGGAACTACCAGCATATGTGGTGTGGAAACCCTCAGAAGACACTGTGGATTCAGACCAACCAGAATTGGTGGCAGAACTCTGAAGGCCTGTGGCTGGGGAAGCCTCAGAAGAGACAGTGGATTCAGACCAACCAGAATTTGTGGGGGAACTCTCAGAGGCTGTGGTGAGGAAACCCTCAGAAGAGACTGTGGATTTAGACCAACCAGATGTTGTGGTGGAATTCTGAAGACCTGCGGTGTGGGAACCCTCAGAAGAGACAGTGGACTCAGACCAACCAGGAGTGGTGGTGAAACTCCAAGGGCCTGTGATGGGGGAACCCTCAGAAGAGACTGTGGATCCAGACCAACCAGGAGTGGTGGTGAAACTCCAAGGGCCTGTGGTGGGGGAATCCTCAGAGGAGACTGTGGATTCAGACCAACCGGACGTGGTGGTGGAACTCCCAGAGCCTCTGGTGTGGGAACCCTCAGAAGAGATGGCAGATTCAGACCAACCAGAAGTGGTGGTGGAGCTCCCAGTGGCTGTGGTGAGGGAACCCTCAGAGGAGACTGTGGATTCAGACCAACCTGAAGTGGTGGCAGAACTCCAAGGGCCTGTGGTGGGGAAATCCTCAGAAGAGACTTTGGATTGAGACCCACCAGAAGTGGTAGTGGAACTCCCAGGGCCTGTGGTTGGGGAATCCTCATAAGCGAGTGTGGATTCAGACCAACCGGACGTGGTGGTGGAACTCCCAGAGCCTCTGGTGTGGGAACCCTCAGAAGAGATGGCAGATTCAGACCAACCAAAAGTGGTGGTGGAGCTCCCAGTGGCTGTGGTGAGGGAACCCTCAGAGGAGACTGTGTACTCAGACCAACCAGAATTTGTGGGGGAACTTCCATCCCCTCTGGTGGGGGAACCCTCAGAAGAGATGGTGGATTCTGACCTAGTGGAAGTCGTGGTGGAACTCACAGTGCTTTCGCTGGAAGCAGAACTTGGATTGCAAGTTGTGGTTGTCTCTCCTGGAATAAAATAAGTGGTAGACAGTTGATGAGGACTTGAAGGGGATGCAGTTCTTCCATCACTTTCGGTATAGGTGGTCAGAGGACTGTTGTTAACAGATCTGAAACATGTCTAGAGAACTGTTTCTTTAGTGAATGTCATGGCTGTTTGTCCAAAGACTTGAGTGGTGGTTGATTCACCAGAACCAGAAGGTGATGAAGCTCTTATATTATCAGTAGTATGGAAGGTGGCAGATGGAACTGATAATTCTTAGAGTATTGTAGGAAAAGTGGATTGCCCAGTAGTAATTATGGCTGACGGTCCATCACCACTAGAAGTGTATAGGAGTCACCGGGACTTGTTTTGTGGGCATTCTTGGTTAAGGTGTTTGCAGATGACACAATGAATTGGGAAAACTCAGAGATGATACTTTGGTCTGTGATTTTGTTACTGAGTTTAATGGCAGTCTGTCCCAGGCTGCCTGGGACATAGCTCATCAGCCTATGACACTGAAGCATGGCTTTCCTTTTCAGGGGTATAGGATGCCCCTATGTCAGGGGCATCTGTAGATATGGATAATTTACCAATGGTGATCTAGACCTTTGTCTCTTCTGTTGAGTATAGTAGCTTATTTATAGGGCAAAGTATCACTAGCTATATTCTGGGGGTTAATGTGATTTATGACTTGAATTGTTAGTTGTACGGCTGTGGATTTTGACAAATCTGTATGTTCATATATATGCATATATATATACATACACACACACATATATATAAATATATACACATATATACATATATATGATTTTTCTCAACCCACAGTGTCATCTGCAAACACCTTAAATAAGAATGCCTCCACATCGAATATATATGTATACTGTTACCCAATATGGCCTGTACATTCCTCCCAGGCACCCTGAGACATGTTCATTTCCTTTGGCGCTCCTGCATAAATTCAAGCTGATGTTAGTACTCACATACCCCCTACACATTCCTTTTGCCCCTCACATTCTGTGATTTGCAGACCACACACTCACCTTCCGTCATGTGGCTGGTACTTAGTCTGACAAATCTCTCTTCACTATCCATTATATGTGAGATTCCTCCTCTACCCCAGCACTTCCCACTGACCCAGGAGGAATAGGAGAGCTAAAGTAGTCACCCATTACTGTGCATAATTCATCCCCTGTCCTTTCTCTCCAGATACACTTACACAGAGGCTAGCCACTCTACCTGGAATACTGTCACCTCTACCTGGCTGTCCTGTGGCCCTGGCGACTGCCCAGATGAGTTCTTCCTCCACCCTGGTCCCACAGCCCACTCAAGGGGCTGCAGCTCTCTGATAATGGGAGCTGGGCTTGCACCCTGGGACCTGAGGGCTTCTTCTGTGCTCTCTGTGCCACTAAGAACATGTGACTGCACATGTGGGACTCTCTTTTCCTATGGAAGTTGGGACTATAATCTCTATAAGACGAATAAGATCGAATATGGATAGAATCTTTGTGACAATTGTGCCATAAATCTAGGGATTATTAGGAATTCCACATGATGGTGTATAGAAACCTCCTTGAGAGGGCAGGGCATGTGACCTTCTGTCCCTCCTGTCGGTCCCCCACTCCTCTGCAAAGATGCCCTGGGGCTGCATCTTTCTTACCTCTCAGGAAGGTGGACTTTGGCCCCTGGCAGAGAGGACTGTGGAGGCCGTCAAGGCAGTGGCACCCTCTGCCCTCCCAGATGCTCCCATTTTCGCAGGGTCCTAAAAGAGGCAGACAGTCACAGGGAGAGGCCAGGAGCTGGACCAGGACTGGAGGCCGGGGTAGTGAACAATTAGCAAAGATATGTCATTCACACCAACAGTTCTGGATCGTTGGCTTTGCAGAGCTACCATCGGAACATTAGGGGAGAGACTTCCCTGGTGGTCCAGTGACTAAGACTCCATGGTCCCAATGCAGGGGACCCAGGTTCGATCCCTGGTCAGGGAACTAGATCCCGCGTGCTGCAACTAAGACCAGGAGCAGGCAAATAAAAAAAAAATTTAAAAAGAAAAAGAACATTAGGGGAAGAGTGATATCAAATCGTTGATTAAGGCAGTTCGGGTCAAAGGTGGCATAATGCCTATGATTTGTGGAATTCTAAAGTAATGTAAAAAATTGACAAGATTGCTTGGTTGTTTTTAAGTCAGTAGATATGTTTGTTTTGCCCAATCCTCTTGCCTATGGAGTTAGGTTTTGTCTAATTCAGCATATGGGGAAGAGAAGGGGCTGAGCTGAGAGGCTGCCAAGGGTGGAGGTGGGGCCTCCCTGAGTCTTGGGTATGGAGGATCAGAGAGAGAAAGAGAGAGAGACCGCACATGGGGCCTCTGGTCAATCCAAAGCAGAGGGTGGCAGGGCTCAGAGTAAACCCAGGCTGGCGGACAAATGAGCCCCTACCCCTCAAGGCGGGTCCTGGCCCCCCAGTGCAATTCGGGGGCAGTCAAGGCCCATTTGAAGGGACAGTGGGGGTCAACAGGGTGGGAGAGGGAGGGAACCACCCCTCTGCCTTTCTCAGAAGGCTTTGAAAAGAAAGCAATATCGAAGCTTTTTCCCTTCTTCTTTAAAAAGAAGGGGTTTTGTGGACTTAGGCATTACAAATTTTACTGGACTTTTTAAGTTATAAAAGTAGACTATTTCTGTTGAGAAAGTCAAACAATGAGAAAGCATATAAAGGCAATTTATGATCGTGTCCCTAACTGAATCACAAAGAATGAATAGGGGTGGGGAGAGGTGACATTTATTGGCTGCCTATCAAATTCCTGTGTAGCCGTATCACACCTGTAACTCAATGACTGTGTATGTAATTCCCTTTGCCCCTCTCTGAGAACACAGAGAACATTTCTGCCCCGTTCAGCCTGAACCAGAGTGGGTGCTCCATGAGCACGTCTTGAGTAAAGGAGAGAATGAATACTGGAAAGTCTACCTGACACTTCTTAGTTATTTAATGTAATCCTGGGAGGTAGACATGAATATTCCTGTCTCACACCTGAATTGAGGTTCTAAGGGTTAAGTATTTTCCAAGTTCACCCAGCTGGAAGGTAGAATTCAAGCACAATCTAAGGGTAGCTTTTACTTTTAGCACAAGAAAAGGGTTTCTCAAGTGGCGAAAAGCAAAGAAAACGTTTCAAGCCGGGGCGGTGGGGGGGGGTGGTGAACAGCATGTGTGGAGGCTCAGAGTACATGTTTGGGGTGGAGCTAAATACTGAGAGACCAGAGGGGGCAGAAGGAAGGCTGGCAAGGTGGGTGTGAAGCCAGCTCTGGACTTGACTCAGCAACAGTGGAGAACACCCAGCAAAAGGCCATGGTCACAACTGTGCCTTAGGAGCAGAGCCCTGGAGTGAAGGGCAGTGAGGGCAGAGGCATAATGGAGATTGATTGATGAGCCCACGGCAGTTACATAGTGGGACGCCGGGGGCCCCAGTGAAGGCCAGGACACTTGTTGGCATGGCCTCTGGACAGGCTCTCTTTGGTCTTTATTCCTGAATTCACACCATTTACTCCCTTTTACTGCCACCCACGTCTTCGCTATAGTTGCCGACCAGCTTGAGTGCCCAAATCCCTGTCCTTTCCACCAGGCTGCCCTTCCTCCTGGAATTTCTCATCTCCTTCAGGTCCTAAGACACCACTGCCTCCTAACCACCCTTCTCCCCCCTGGTCCTGTTCTTTCCTACTCACTATCTAACTGAGACCTTCAAGATAAAGGCTCTGGGGCTTCCCTGGTGGCGCAGTGGTTGAGAGTCCGCCTGCCGATGCAGGGGACACGGGCTCGTGCCCCGGTCCGGGAAGATCCCACATGCCGCGGAGCGGCTGGGCCCGTGAGCCATGGCCGCTGAGCCTGCGCGTCCAGAGCCTGTGCTCCGCAACGGGAGAGACCACAACAGTGAGAGGCCCGCGTACCGCAAAAAAAAAAAAAAAAAAAAAGATAAGGGCTCTGCTGTATCCCCCACCTTCCTGGCAGCAACCCCCTCCATGCCCAAGGCTTTCACTGATTTCTGGGAGGGACAAGAAAAAGGCACCCTAGACAGTGCCCTGTGAAGAGCTTCAGAACCTTCCCAGCCTGAGATTCTGGCGGTCACGTCATCCCCAAAGGATGCGTCAGAGAAGTTGAGCAAACTCCTTCCCAAAGTCAACCTCCAGGGTCAGAAGATGTTCCACCAGGAAGCTGAGCAAAGGAAAAACACAGACAATCTCCACAGAAACAATTTACATGGCCAGTAAGCCTATGAGAAGAAAATGGTCAACTTCACTGGTGAGCTTATCACATTGCACCCCCCTCTGTGATGTTAGGTAACGTAGCTGGTATTGGCTGGGGAATAAGATGCTGATGGACGTTAGCTTAGTATCATATTTCTAAAGGATAATTTGAAAATGTGCATCAGGGATCGTCGCAGAGTCACACCATTTTAATGATTCCACTTCTAGTTACTGACCCTAAAGTAAAGTAATCTGATGCAGATTTTTTTTAAAAAATGTTTTATGAGAAGGTTTATTGCATCATTATCTGTGAAAAATTGGGGAGAACCTGTCCAAGAATAAAAGAATAGACCAGTTAGATGACTAGGGTATTCCATAAAATAGAATATTAATCAGCCATTGAAACAGAAACTGCCCATAGAATAAATTAAATACCTATTCAGAAAAAGACCAAAATGTTAGCAATGTTTATCTGAGTGGTAAGCTTAAGAGAGATTTTCCTCCTTTTGTTTGTCTATATTTTCTAAATGTTCTACCATAAATAGGCATTCATGATATAATGTCTAAACATAATAAATGCATATGCTGTAAAAATTAATAAAACTTAGGTGTGCCCAGTACCCTGGAGAACCCATGCAAAATCACTAATAATTCCCAAGCTGGGATTCCCCACACCTTTGTGATCAAAATGCTTTAACAAAAATGATCTAATGTCTGTGTTGCACTAGCCATCCAAGACACCAGCTCTCCTACCAAACAAGTAAAATTTTACTTTCTTGTCCTGTGTACAGTTCTTATTGCTTCTTTCTTTAAAAGATAATCATTTGAGTTAGGCAGTTGGTTTGCCAGGCAAGTTTTTCACTTGGTGGCATTCCTGGGAAAAAGCCCTCGAAAACACCTTGGGACAAGTCTGAAGATCGCCCCCTCGATATAAGACGGTCCCCTCCTACCACCTCCAAAACACATTTCTGCTTGTGGTAGCTCAGCGGGGTCCATAGGAGCAGCCCTGAAGGGTGGGGTGTGGAGCGGGGGGCACACCTGTGAGGGCAGGTGCTACCCAGCTACGGGATCTTGTGCAGCTAACCTCTCTGAATTTCCATTTCCCCCGGAAAATGGGGATGAATTATGCCTGCCTTCACCACCCTTCTCATTCTAGAACAGGGGTCCCCAACCCCCGGGCCGTGGACCGGTACCAGTCCGCAGCCTGTTAGGAACCGGGCCGCACAGCAGAAGGTGAGCCGCGGGCAGGCGAGCGAAACATCATCTGCCACTCCCTGTCGCTCCCCATTGCTTGCATTACCGCCTGAACTAACCCCCCGCTCCCCACCCACTGTCCGTGGAAAAATTGTCTTCCACAAAACCGGTCCCTGGTGCCAAAAAAGGTTGGGGACCACTGTTCTAGAATATCCTACAAGAGAAGCCATGTGGGGGCCACTAGGCTGTGTCACTCAGTCCTGGGTGTACTTTCAGCCCTGCCACACACGACCTCAGTGACTTGGGCCTGTCTCCTTTTCTGTAAGGTCATTCCCACCTGGCAGAGTCGTCTTAGGGGTGAGACAAGGCCGGGGCCACCTCGCCTCCGCCCCCCACCCCCTGCCCTGCACACACCTGTGGCGAATGAATGGGCTTCCCGGCTTTCTAGCACCAGCAGCCAGTGCCACCTGCCGCTGCCCCCGCCCACTGCCTCCCTGAAGGACTGTTGCTCTGATTGCTGTGGAAGCATGGTATAGTGGGTTGAATTATGTCCCCCCAAAAGATATGTCCAAGTCCTAATCCCCATATACCCTCGAGGGTGACCTTATTTGGAAATAAGGTCTTTGC